TCCTGTAAAGAGTTACAGTCTCAAAACCTCACAGGGGCAGTTCTAACCTGTCCTATAGGCTCTATTAGGAGGCATGGACTCGACTCGATGGCAATGAGAGTTTAGTGAGCGAGGTTTTTTATTTTCATTTAAATAAACATATACATGGTTCCCAATTTTACATCATTCTTTTACCTCTAAATAGGCAAATCAAGCACTATTTATGAAAAATATTGACATGCTGGCAACAAGAAAAAAGCATCTGACAGTATCAGAAAAAGTATGAAAAGAAGTGATTTGTAAGTCTACACTGACAGATATGTAAGCTAGAAAATGAAATAGGTTCTCCTGATAGCTGAATGCCATCCATTTTCATCAATGTTCAATGTCTTTTCACATATTACAGGCAAATTCATATTGTGTCCTCTTGTTAGTCGACAGGATAACTCTTTATATTATAGATGGTTATTTATGTGATAGCAATATGGAACCAAAGACTTTCATTTCAGGTAAAAATCATTTAAACCAAGCCAAACCAAAACACTGCCACTGAATCAACCATAACTCATAAGACAAAGAACTACCCTTCTGGGTATCTGAGGCTGTTAGTCTTTACCAGATCAGAAAGCTTCCAATTTCTCCTTCTGAACGCCTGCTGGCTTCAAACTGCTGTCCTTGTGGTAACAGCTCAACCTGTGAGCCACTACTACATCTACTATAACTCTTGATTTTGATGAAAATACTTTATTTGTGTATATATCATTTTTTGCCTAATTCATCTATATTCAAGTTTTAAAATTTAATGATAACTAAATATTCCTATTAATGGCTTTTAGGATTCTTTAGTGTTAGATATTATTTTATGAAATCTCAATTTTGTCTGTTGAGCATTTGTAACCATGCCAAATAGTGTTTCAAAGACAGAACCACTTCCATTTTTAAAACAAAATGATCCAATATTTATTGTGCTTTCAATGAATTAATGTTCCTTCAAATGCCTCTTCAAAAAAATAGCATATTTTTCATTACAAAAATATTGCAGTGTCATAAATAAAGATATCTCAGAATATATATCAAAAGAAGGCTACTTGAAAGAATATTCTTTTTCTGCAGTACATTTAAATGCATACATTTTGTAAAGAATCCAATTATATTGTATGAATACCTGGAAAAAAAAATCCAAAACTCCAGTCTGGTTACCAGGAGAATATGCTGTTTCCATGGCAACTCCCTCTTGTACACATTCTGTTTGTTCTTGTAGAAATAGCACTTCATTGATATAGTGGTGTATCTTCTCATTGGTCATGTTGACACACAGCTATTATGGGGAAAATAGAAAATAGAAAAAGGTAAACCAGTAGTGAAGAGCTTCTCATTCTATGACATAACTTCAGAAGGGAGAAAGAGTGACTTAGCAATATTCAAAATCTAATAGCCTATTGAGATCAACCATTTTTATATTGCCTTCTTAGCTAAAGTAAAGCGCTTCAGCACACATTGTGTGTTTTGACTACTCATTTTAAAGGGAGTATATGCAATAACAAAAAGCGAAATTGCAACATTACCTTTACAACATTGTATTCTAGGATATACTAACATTTAAATATACTTCTAATGGAAAATTATATTTTGGCTCTAGTCAGCAAATGGAAGATCAAATTTGGGCTCACCATGGGATTCCAAAGAAAAGGAAAGTGTTGTTGTTTTTCTCATTTATGAATGCACACTATTGATGGGAAGATTAAAGATGGAGTTTCTTATGGGAAGAATAATAGGTGTAAGCATTTTGCTGTAGTAATTATTTTATCACATGATTTTCTAATTTCCTCTATTTTTTTCCCTTCTAACAAGTCATTTCCATAAGGAAAAAAAAGCACATTATGTCTTAACTTTAAAACCTGAATTTCTTCTTTTTTTAAATCATTTTATTGGGGCTCGTACAACCTTATCACAACTCATACATCCACCCATTGTGTCAAGCACATTTGTACATATGTCGCCATCATCATTCTCAAAACATTTGCTTTCTATTTGAGCCCTTGATATTAGCTCCTCCTTTTTCTCCTCCCTCCCTGTTCCCCCTTCCCCTATGAACCCTTGATAATTTATAAATTATTATTTTGTTATATCTTACACCATCTGATGCCTCCCTTCACCCACTTCTCTGCTGTCTGTCACCCAGGGAGGAGGTTTTATGTAGAGCCTTGTAATCTGTTCCCCCTTTCTCCCTCACCTTCCCTCCACCCTCCCGGAATTTAAAATAAAATAAAAACATTGATCTTAAAAATATTGAAATATAAAATAAGGTAAATCTAATCACAGTGAAATCTCTGCTGATGTTACTCCCTCTCTATTATCTCCTCTATTTATTCTTAATGTCAAATCCCTCCAAAGTTGTCTCTACTTACCATCATCTCAAATTCTGTCCCTTGCATTGTTTTCTAAAACCATTCTAATTAAAGCCTTGCCTTCACGCTTCCACCAAAATATATCCCGTAGATGTCATTAGAGATTCGTACATTTCTATACCTAATATTCTTCTTTGTTCCCCTGACCTCTCAGTGAGCTTTTTTTTTTTTAATCATTTTATTAGGGGCTCATACAACTCTTATCACAATCCATACACACATCAATTGTGTAAAGCGCATTTGTACATTCATTGCCCTCATCATTCTCAAAACACTTTCTCTCCACTGAAACCCCTGGCATTAGGTCCTTATTTCCCCCCTTCCCCCCTCCCCCCTCTTTCATGAGCCCTTGATAATTTATAAATTGTTATTTTGTCATATCTTGCCCTGTCCGACGTCTCCCTTCACCCACTTTTCTGTTGTCCTTCCCCCAGGGAGGAGGTCACATATAGCTCCTTGCAATCAGTTCCCTCTTTCCTACCCAGTCTCCCTCTACCCTACCTGTTTCGCCACTCACACCACTGGTCCTATAGGGCTCATCTGCCATGGATTCCCTGTATTTTCAGTTCCTATCTGTACCAGTGTACATCCTCTGGTCTAGCCAGACTTGCAAGGTCAAATTCGAGTCATGGTAGTGGGAGCGGGGAGGAAACATTTAGGAACTAGAGGAAAGTTGTATTTTTCATCATTGTTACATCGCACACTGACTGGCTCATCTCCTCCCAGAGACCCCTCTGCAAGGGGATCTCCAGTAGCCTACTAGTGGGCTTTGGGTCTCCACTCTGCACTCCCCCCATCATTCACTATGGTAAGATTTTTTGTTCTGATGATGCCTTATACCTGATCCCTTCGACACCTCGTGGTTGCATAGGCTGGTGTGCTTCTTCCATGTGGGCTTTGTTGCTTCTGAGCTTGATGGCCGCTTGATTACCTTCAAGCTTTTAAGACCCCAGAAGCTATATCTTTTGATAGCCGGGCACCATCAGCTTTCTTCACCACATTTGCTTATGCACCCGCTTTGTCTAGAGCGGTTGTGTTGGGAAGGTGAGCATCATAGAATGCCAATTTAATAGAAGAAAGTATTCTTGCATTGAGGGAGTTCTTGAGTGGAGGCCCAAAGTCCTTCTGCTAACTTAATTCTAAACCTATAAATGATCCAAATTGGTGGGGAGGTGGGTGTGGGAGACCTGGTAGGGCATGATCAAGGGGAACATAATAAAGAGGAAGTGCTGAAATCCTGGTGGGGACTGAGCATGATAGTGGGACAGGAGGAGAATCAAGGGAAATAGAGGAAAGAGCTGGGAGGCAAAGGACATTTATAGAGGTCTAGATAAAGACATGTACATATGCAAATATATTTATATGAGGATGAGGAAATAGATCTATGAGCCTATATTTATAGGTTTAGTATTAAGGTAGCAGAAGGACTTCGGTGAGCTTTTGCAGAGTTGATTCTCTGGCTGTTTTAGAATACAGCCCTGCTTGTCTTCAGGGAGTGCAGATTGTCTGGGCACTGCTCAGATCTCACTGACAACTCCTTCTTTTCCAAGTCTCCAACTCGTGATCTCTTCATATGAGAGCTTGATCAATTCTCTACCTGTGCTTATTCAGTCTCCTAGATTGATATGCTATCTCTGTGCTGATGAAATCCAATGCAGATCTCTGCCTCAATCTTCTTTATGAACTACAGAAGTACATGTTTCTTATAAGAAAATAGTCATAAGACACATTTTCTTCACTCTCTCATCCAGACAAAGTTTGTAAATCCATCTGGGTTCTAGAGACATCACACGTATCTCTACCCCAGGCCAGGAGCGAGAACAGAATTTAGCTAATCGTAGAGGATAGCTCACACTGCTGTTATACAGCTAGCAAGAATGCTAATCTTAAGATGTTAATTATATTAATAAAAATACATTAAGACAAATAACTAATTTTATCATATAAATAGCCTCATACCAGACCAAGTTCTAAGTACCTTACACAAATTACCGTATATACTCGTGCATAAGCCGAGTTTTTCAGTACATGTTTAATGCAGTTTTTGTGGTAAAATTAGGTGCCTCAGCTGATGGCCGCGTCAGCTTGTACTCAAGTCTATACTGTATTTAATTCTCTCATCAAGGGATGAGGTGGTCACTATTATTCTATTCATATACCGGATAAAGAAACTGATCAAGGGATGAGGTGATCACTATTATTCTATTCATATACCGGATAAAGAAACTGAGGCCTAAGGACAAAGTGGAACTTGTCCGAAGTCACAGAGTCACTAAGTGGTCAAGACAGAAATGTAAATCAGTCCAACATAGTCTACAACGTTCACCCTTAAAGATGATATTACAGTGAACCCTCGTTTATCGCGGTTAATCGGTTCTAGACCCTACCGTGATAAATTAAATTCCGCGAAGTAGGATTCCTTATTTGTAAATCAAATATTTTCGTAGTTAGAGCATAGAGGACATGAAAAAACACCCTTTAGTCACCATTACACTCGTATTACCCAATTTATTAAACGAAAAGGGGAAAATGCAGTAAAACATTTTAGACGTTACAATTATCATTTATTATTTATTATATTATGAAGTACAACGGATGGAGCGAACGGAAGACTCATTCAAGTCGAAATGGCGTGCAACCTCCATGATTTTCTTGCCATCTTTGATCATATCCAAAAGTTTTACCTTTTCCTGGATGGTGAGCATCTTCCTCTGGCGCTTATTTTTATTGTCAGAAGGCTTAGAAGAAGAAGCTCGTTTAGGAGCCATCATAGGGCTTAGATAAAATTTCTTAAAAATCGCAAACAATTACAGTACACTGTACAAAAGCAAAAATGCATCTGATATGTAGCTCCGATACATAGCGATGCAGACAGAAGTGTGTATAGTATGGAGCCAATCAGTGGCAGTAATGACAGAGCATGCGCTATTATGCAAAAACCGCGATAGAGTGAAGCCGCAGAAGTCGAAGCGCGAAGTGGCGAGGGTTCACTGTATACTAGGTAAAAACTAAAACTGCATTTTTAAATATTAAGAGTTCAGGAACTCAATAAAAATCATTTTAAATGAGTAATTTATACTTTTATAGATGGTAATAACTAGATAGATCACTTCTAAAAGGAAATTAACATCTTATTTGCAAATGAAATAATATTTATGATATTTGATGAGATATTTCATGAATTCTTATTAAGAAAATGACTAAAGTTTTATAAAGACCTAAAGAGGAGAAAATAAAAGACCTCTCCATTTGCCTTTTTCCATATGCCCAAATTCTTTTACGAGGTTTCTGTCATCAAAATACTCGTTACCTAGGTATAATCCAGCCCATTCATCTTCTCACATTGTTCCTCACAACTAATGGGTGATGCCAGTGGATTGCTCTTTCCCCTGTTTTAACTGTTCAACGGACTATTGAATTAGAGTTAAAATATGGGGGCAATCCTGGAACATGACCTTTAAAATTGCTAGTCAATGTAAATAAGACGCATAAAATGGACACATCACCCAATGTCCGCCTACCTAGCTGAAAAATGGAAAAATGTATCCTTCCAATAAAATAGTGGTCAAAATCTTGGTCAAAATGTGTCTATTCTTGATATCATTCCATTGAATCTGCTGGAGTTGGATATGTGGGTATGAGTTAAACCTGTGGGAAACTAAAGTGAAGATTTCTACAAGTAAGTTATTTTATTATACAAAAACCATGCATCTTGATGAATTATTGAGTACATCATTGACTTCAATGCCAATTAACCATCAATTTTACTTTCCAATTCTATTCATCAGAATTATGTCTAGGATCCCAGAAGATCCCCAGGTATTCCTTAGTGTGGGTGAAAGGTGAGTACTCATAAATACTAATGATTAATTATTAAGTAAATACTTAATTAGTATGCCTACTCCTCTAA